CTCCCTCCCTTCCTTCCTTCCTTCCTTCCTTCCTCCCTCCCTCCCTCCTCCCTTCTATCCCTCATTCCCTCCCTTTCTCATCACCTGTCATTTCCCCAACTGACCATGTAGAGGTATGTTCATGTTTCCACAGAAAAAGTCACAGAGCAATTAATAAGATAGAAAAGATGAGACTGAAATTATTCATGAAATTCCAGTTTCTTTCCTTTCACATTTAATGCAATATTTCTGGGTTTCTTTGCTTTTTATCACCAGATTGATGTGTCCTTGATGCTGTAAACTTAAAAATATAAGTTCATTGTTCATTGCTGCATTGAAATTTTTTCTTTGTGATGATTCTTTTTTGAGACTTTTTTCTCATTTCTTTGTTAATATATATTTTATTGATGTTTGGGCATTTTACAAAGATAGATTTAATGAATTATTTTATTAATATAGATCTTAATCAAATTTAGATCCCTCTACCCCATCTGTGCCCCCCAACACCCCCCTACTGGATTTCATGCACTCTGTCATATATGTTAAGTCCTGTCTAGTCAAACATTTGTACCCAGATATCTCTTATTGAACCAGGTTCATTTACTGGAATCTAGTCAGCCTATCTAGAGACACTGCCTTAAAGAAGATTTACTCTCCCTCAGCCTGTAGTAGAAAAAAATCTTCACCTGCTACACATCTGACAGAGGATTAATATCCAGAATATACAAAGAACTCAAAACACAAACAAACAAGAACATAAATGACCCAATAAAAGGATGGGCTAAAGAACTGAACAGAGAGTTCTTGAAGAAATAAAAAATGGCTAAGAAACAACTTAAAAAGAGCTCAACTGTGCACACCTTTAATCCCAGCACTCGGGAGGCAGAAGCAGGTGGATCTCTGAGTTCAAGGCTAGCCTGGTCTACATAGTGAGTTCCAGGACAGCTGGGGCTTCAGGGAGACCCTGTCTCAAAAAGATGAAAAAAAAGAGCTCAACTTCTTTAGCAACTAGAGAAATGCAAATCAAAACTTCTTTAAGATTTTTTCTTAACTGAGTTCGACTGGCTAAAATGAAGAGAACAAAAGACACCAAATATTAGTGAGTTTGTAGAGAAAGGGGAACACTCATTCACTCCTGGTGGGACTGGAAACTTGTCCATCCACTAAGGAAAGCAGTGTGGAGAACTCTTATAATACTACAAGTGAATTTGCCATATGATCTGATTATACTGCTCCTTGGCATATACCCAATGGACTCATCATACTGTAAAGATACCTGTACACCCATGTTTGTTGGTGCTTTATTTCACAATAGCTAAGAAAGAGAAACAACCTAAATATTCTTCAACTGAGAGCGAATAATCAAAATGTGGTACATTTACACAATGGCGTTCTACTCAGTGATAAGGAAAGACAAAATCATGAAATTTGCAGGTAAATGGATGCAAGTTGAGGCTATCACACTAAGTGAAGTAACAGACTCAGAAAAGAACAATAATAACACAAAAAAACCCTCAAAAAAGGACTCATTTTCTCCCTCATCTGTGAATCTTAGCACCAATCCCTTATATGTGAGCATACATCCTGATGTAACAGGAGGAGCCAGAAAAATGGAAAGGAACCATGGAGGTAAAGGGAAAGAAAGAGACTGAGAGTGGGAGGATACTAGGAAGCTGATGTTGCCAAGTGAAAAATGGGGAAAATGGTAGTATTCAACTGGGAAGGGGAGAGGGAAGGACATACAAGGGTCCATGGCAGAAAAGGGGAAGAAGGAATTCAAGAAAGGAGGAAATAATAGGAGACAGGTATTATCAAGGGGAAAATGGGGCTACTGAGACACATTTTTGGATTTATTTTTACATAAATGGAACTATCAATCATTCACAGAAAACACAAAATGTTCATAGCGCATGAATTCCATGTTAAAGATAAATCTGGGGTCTCATACAGAGCATCTCTCGCATGGTCAGTCTGCTCCAGTGGTCTTGTCCTCCTTCATAGGCCTCACATATGAACACAGACTTCATGCTGTGTCTTAATGGAGCAATAAACTCTATATCTATGCAGTCATAAATGCACAGGTGTCTTTTTTCAATGGAGTTGGGAATGATTAAAACTCCTGTAGACACTTCGGAGGAAACTTCCCCATAAGGAACAGTTTCTTGAGTCTGGGGTAAGGTCTCAGTTAAAATACCCATGCCCAAAGCATGTCCTGAGAAGGCACACTGATGATATGCATTTGGACAAATGAGTACAGAAAGTGAAGAAGAGGGGAGAGAAGAAAAGAAAGCAGAGGAAAGGGAATGACAGCAGATGGATGGAGCATCGACAAGCACATGAGCAGACAGATGTTTTGATCAATATGTTAGTAAATGAGGTCATACTGCATGTGTCATGTGACCATTTAGGAATATCTAGTGGCTGGGCAGCTTTATCTGGGTAAATCCTACCACACATCCACATGACTGGGCCCAATGACACTGAAAGGAGCACATGTTCCTGGGGACCAGCAGACACTACAGCCCCATGTGCTCCATTGAAATTGGAAAATCTTAGCTGTGCAGGTTCCAAGGTGTGGCAGATCTGAAAGCCATGCTATTGTATTACTCATTATACAAATTATGAATGCCTTGGACCTTTAAAGAACAGAATGACAGAGAAAGGAAAGAATTTAAGGACATGCTCCTCTTTCCTGTCAGGAGTGATGAATTTTATTGATCCTAATAATATCAACAGTGACTTGAAATGTACGGAGTCAACATCATTTTTGTCAGCCAAACCTGAATTAGAGAACATTGCTGTAGAAACGGGAAAATCAAAGATGAACACTTGTAAAATGGACAGGAGGAAATAAAGCACGCAGTAAATTGAAATCACAAGCACTCGTCTTAAGCCACCCATTTGTCCAATAAGATGCTTCAAGTATTCTCAAAGCTTATTTTCATCCCAAAAGTCAGTATTTTTTTAGCTTACTTATAGAATGCATAATTTTGACAGTTATTAGAAGTAAAACCATTTTAATAGAAGCCCTTCTTGGTCAAGACCTTAGCTGACGGTGTGGCTTTGGCTGACATCACTATCTAACTTGCAATACATAGCAAGGCTGGCATGAATTCAGAGGGTTATGAATGGAAAATGTGTTATCGTGTACTAGAAGGGAATGTAACTGATAAAACTACAGAGGCTTCTTGGGCTTCAGAGAAGTAAAGAGAAAGCCCTTATCTGTAAACTACTGTTTCCTGTGGAAAAGAGAGTCTACTTTAGAGGACAGAAATGATAGCACAGTGCTAGAAACAAAGAACTCAAAGCACCTGCTTCTAAGGAATACCAGGAACACACCACCTTGGATATCCTGGAGTGGCAGAGGACAGGCCACTCGCATGAAGCAGGGCCAAGGTTTTGCTGAGAAAATTATCAATCTCCCCAGTGGTAGTTACTGGTAGGACTTCAGAATTTGGAGACCAGTTAGTACAACTGTTCCTCAAAGATATAGATTTTGGATGTGTGTGTGTGTGTTATATGCATGGGTGTAGGTAGATCCAGCAAACCCCTGTGATCTGCCCATATCTGCCCCCTAGCACTATGGTTACAGGTGCACCTGGTCATGCCCAGCCTTTTACATGAGTGTTGGGGATCTGAACTCATGCTTGTGTACCAGGTGTTTCTATCCACAGAGTCATCTACCCACCCTTCTTTACAGTTTCTTGTTCAATAGTAAGTGTCTGTCTGCCAGGAGTGAGAGCTCATGCTTTTTATCATAATGCTTGGTAGGTGAAAGCAGGCAGATCAGGAGTTCAGGGCCATCTTAGACTACGTAGTAATTTGCTGAGCTGCATGAAACCTTGTCTTTACCAGCAAAAATAATAAAATAAAATGTGTGATATTATTAATATATGATACAGAGAGAAATATGATTCTTTTAGTTTGTGTGCAGAAATTATTTTGCTAACTGCTCCTACTATTCTAAATTCTAAATATATGCGTGCTAGTACTTTTGATGAGAATTTTATACAATTTTTTTCATTGTTTTAATTATAAAGTTAGGTCTGACACTTATCAAAATTAAGGATATATTCAATTTTTGTTCTGATTCTTATTGGAAATTTCAATATTGTATGCACTTATCCACACGAAGATAAATCCGAATGACTGAGGAAAGCATGTTGATTATTCTACTATTTGATAATGGCTGGTAGATATTTATGACCAAATGCAACTGTTTGCTATTTTAAATAGACCTTATTACTTCATTTCACAAATA